AATACATCAGTGAATGATTGACCAAGACCAACGTCGAAAGCCTTGATCTCATTATGTAGCATGCTGCCTACGCTCTGGGTAAGCAACGAGCCCTTCTCAATATCACCCTCAAACCTCTCCCTGAGTTTCACGGAGAGAGCAGAGCGAATGCGATCTGGCAGGACCATGGCAGCATAGTCGGAAGTAGCCGAACCTCCATGCCCTATGGATGCTGACGTATGAGTACCTCAGGAGAAGAGCATTGCGGTCTGACACTGACCGTCTAAAACAGCAAGGAAGAGCCAATTGTAACCATGTACCTCCCAAGTCTGAGTAACGAAGCGTTCTTCGTTGTCTTTACCGTGGCAAGGTTGAAAGGAGACGGTGTCGACGACGCAGTGCGGGCCGACCAGACGCGAGTTCGTGCAGTACTCCGTAATTTTAGCACGTAGCCCATTCAATGAGAGCATTGTGTATAATTTGCTAGTATTCAGAGTCGGGATGGTGGCCGTCAGGACGTTAGTTCTGACGCGACGCCACACTTATATGAGGCGAACGAACAATCACGCTCACGCTCACACGGGTTTCTCGGCTAGCGCGCCTTGTTCCCAACTCCGATGAGCTTACAGAATTGCTGCACTGCCGGCGCCTTGCCAACAAGGAGGGACAACTACTACCCACTTCTCATGTCGACTGAACCTCCTTCAGCCGGGAAGCACGACCTTTAGACCGATATCACGCGGGCACTAGTCCTGGGACTTGTAGTCGAAGTTGTAGCGGCCTTAGGGAACAACCCTTGTATTCGACCTCACTCCTGACTACACGAGACGGACCCGCATTGTTTCTTCTCAGTGGTGATGCTGGAAGAAAGGCTCTGCGGCTCATATCGTATTTGTCGTAGCTGTTTTCGTCCTCAAGCTGCCCTTTTGTTAGTATTGGCCGCGTCACCCGAAGTCATTCTCTTTCAACTACAGCTACTTCTCCCGACCGCTTTCTTTGCTGACTCGTTCTGTCAGTATATAAGCATGGTATCCTCGATCTCCACTCCTCAGCTCTCATCTCTCCAGTACTCTTTCACCACACTCCACGCTACACTCTGCACTGCGACATTCATCAAATGGGACACCGTGCTTCAGATCTCATCGTAAGCGCTCTGGGATCTTTGGCAGCGAGGTGATTTATACTCACATTGGTTTCAGCACGGTCGACGCCGTAGGAACCGCTCCAATACCGCCCGTGGTTCCAGTACGCCACATGCATCGTCTGCTCACACTCAGGGCGGCCCAGCCCCGCACGGCGGGCATCCTTCAGTCCACCCACAGCCTCACGGCCAGTACACAGGCCATATAACGCCCGCGCATCAAGCACAAGGTGGCTTGACAGGCCATCACGCACCGCCTGCTGCTGCTGCTGCTGGTCCTGGCCCCAGTACTCAGGCTTACCGGCAAGCTCGAGCGTCAAGATATGCGGCTCCCAGCTCTCACGCTCATGGCTCTTCTGGCTCTTCATTTTCGGGCTTCACAGCGTTGGCAGCGGACAGCATCAGTCTGGCTCAAGTTACGCTACGCGAAGAACAACCAGTTCTGGGGTCAGAATATTCAACAGGGTCGCCCACCTCACAGCAACGGCAGTGGTAGCGGTAGTGGACAAGGAAGCGGGCACGCTAGTATCTCCACGTTCACCAACACCGGCTCTGGCTCTGGCTCTGGACAGCACTCTGGCCCTGGTCATCACTCAAACTCCCACTCGCAGTCTGGGTCGAGCTCGCCCAACCATGGAGGCATGTTCGAAAGAAGGCGCAGCGGCAAACCCTCGGCCTCTCTCCCCAACATACACGAGAGTCCTCGTGGGTATGAGTACGAACGCCACGGCAACTCGCGGTAGATGTCAAGTTTCGCACTTTCCTCTAGTGCTTTGGCATACGGCCCGAAGACCATTACTATCTCGCTTCTTGAACTTCTTGCATCGGTTACCATGCCACACTAGGCGCTTGCCTCAACCCTTTCAACACATCCTCCGACTTCGCGTGATGCATATGCTTTAAACTCTACCTACCTTCACCGTGAACTATGTTGTATGTATGTAAACCAATATGAATCTGCTATTTCTCTGCATGCAATTGAGACGCAAGAGAGGGCGCGGACTCAGTGGAAGATGCCAAAAGTCTCCAGTGTGAACCACTCGACGTGCATCGTAAGCGTGACATCCAAAGCTGAGCGCCTATAGCAGCTTGGATCGCCGTAGGAAGATCTCGCGGGCCTGCTTCACTACGCATTTTGACCGTGAGTGGCTAGCACCGCTACGAAATCGTTGAAGGAAGGAATGCGAGGCACTATAACGCGGGCTTTCCGTACCACGTCCGAGGATCTGGTTTTCAACTTTCCAGAACTCGTAACGTATCAATATGCGCTCATACCCGCAAGAGTTCATCTGAGCGCACAAAGTTGGGCTGTACCCTGATCCCTAGTGATTATAATCATAGTATTCCTCAACGAACGGGTTCTTGCCGATGCTAATGGCCAGCGTTCTTGACTCATCGTGCGTCGCGCGCTACCACTTCTTCCATGCCTACGCCTGGAAGCTCTCCGCGCGCATACCACTCATTCATGCGCTCTACCCATCGAGCAGTGTGTCCTGGTGTGGTGCGTCTGAACGTAGCATCGTAGTTGGCGCGAGAGGTGGCTGCGGCCATACTATCAGGGCATCAGCAATGAGCTTGAAACTAATCCAACGCAAAGTAATGTGTCGATCGAAGTGCTGAAATCGCGAGAGGCAGAGAACGTGTGCTCACCGTACGATGCCCATAGCATGGAAGTCCTTGATGCCCGGTCCATCTTCTCCCTGAAGCCATTTCTGCTTCTCCAGGATTGCGTCGAGCTTGTCGACGATGCCGACGTTGACGCGCCCGATTAAACTCGCCTTCGAAGCAGGTTCATTGTACGTAGCCACACAGCTGCCGTATGTCCCTTCTCCAAGCCGTGCAGCAGATGTCCAGTACTCGAAGTCCTGCGGGAAGCGATCAGTATGTAGATAGCGTGTCATTCGAATTAGGAGGCACATTATCTTCGCCGGTCTTGTCGAACATCTCGCATACGGGAACGCAATATAGCGTCCAATGCGCAGTCCACGTCTCATCGGAGATTTCACGCCGAAATGCAAGAAACTCATCGTATGTACGCCTTGGCGTACTAGACGCGGACGCGCCCGTTGTGGTCAACGCGTACTACAAGGAGTTGTTGACAGTGAGAGGTTCGGGGAAGCTCAGGGAAGGAGAGACGGGCGCGGCGTATGCGCTGCATGAGGCGACGAGGGTGCTGCGGGACAAGGTGAGAGAGAACAACTTCTTGCGGTGGGTTCCGTTTGTGCATTTCGGCGTGTAACCAGATGGCGCTCCTATTCGTGTCATGTTCGTCTTGATGTCTGGACTCTTGTACTGGTTCATGTAGGCCATGAGTGTGTGCTGTTATAGATCTTGAAATTCCGTCTTGTACAGTAGGGCTGGCGGGTCAATGCATGCACTGGGTTCGTGCACTCGTGCTTTGGCTACTGCGGATGCAACGAAGCATATTGTATTCACGTATATCGTGACACCAAAGACAGGGGGTCGTGGCGGAAAGGCAACTTGCGCTACATGTGCGCAGCCCGTAAAAGTAGCTGGGCGCGTCGCAATCACACGGGTTCCCGCCCTTTTCCTACCATCACCTCTTCCTCTCTTCTATCCTATTTGACACGAAACCTCCGGATACATACCTGAATGTCAACCCCCAGTAGAAGATTGCCTCGAGCTTTCACGATACAGTACACTCTTGCTCACGGTCTACTATCACATATAGCCGCTCCTTTTTATCGCGCGCAACTCCATAGCCACCCCTCGTCTTGTGCGCGGCGTCCTCGCCGCATTCTGAGGATCGGTGCTCACTCCCGCCAAGTGAACACATAGGCGCACCGCTGTCACAGAGAACACATGCTCGTGACAACACACGGGTGGGTCTTAGCTGCCAGACTTCGCCGCCGACCTCGTATGCTCAGTCTACCATTGCACAGATCCGAGCACCCATCAACGCGCAAACCTTGGCGGCCCCACCCATATCCGCGTGCGCCCCTCCGCGCTCCTCGATTCGACGCACTCCTTGTGATTCAAGTCTTGGGTCTCACCCACTGCTTTGCCGATGCCGGTATCGGAACGGCGTTGACGGTCATGAACATACGGCGCATGGCCTGCTCGCGGGATAGCCTTGAGGTCATGCTGGCTGGGCATCGGAGATGTGAGAGATGGCTGAAATATCTCCTTCACATGGAGGCTACATTGCTGGTCATGATCGCAGTATGTGCTCTGCAAATATGGGTTATCCGTCGATACTCACATGCACACGTAGACACTTTATGCATGATGCCTCGAACGTCGTCGCACATTACAAGTCGAGCACTTCTTGGCCTATTCACTCGCGAAGGCTCGACCTACATGCGTGAACGGGCGCTCAGCACACCCACAGGAAGCTCGGTCCCCGAGGATAGTGGCCACGACACCCTGGACGGCCTACCGTCTGCTCTCGACCCTTCGTTTTCATCTCGAGCGTCAATGCCAAGCTCAACGTTCGCTGAACGCTGAGGTCCAGGCCCAATGCTATAACCCTTCACACCTCTCCACCTGCTTCCATCGCGACTCCTCGCTGTGAAGTGCGTACCACCTATTCGCCTCTATACCATATCCTCATTGTTGACATAGGTGATCTCCATCGCAGCCCTTAAGACAACTCGCTTGGTGAGTGCTGTATTTCCTAACGCTATCTTTCTCGTGATTTACAGAGAAGTTTCGACAGATCTCACACCGTCTCAGGACGCAATATGAGCACTCCCGTCGCCTCTAGCAGCTCTTCGAGCGCGACGTACTACGCTATGAAGGAGGTGTCTGATGGGTCCTACGTCGGTTTCAAAGATTCTGAAGTCGCTATCGACGTAGACTGCGAGTCTCTCAACGCCCCCTCAGCCCCGACCCTTCCATTCGAGCGTTCTCAGCTTCGCAAGATTGTTCGGCCGCCACTTGCTCATGATCATACCCTACCTCCTGATCCACATACCGCACGGATCCATCATCCTCATGACCCTCGCCTTCGTCGCTTTCCACATCGGTGTCATCGTATCTGCGAATAAAGAAATCGACTGGACATCGTTCGCCGACGCCGACGCCGCTTTCGAAGAAATCTCCATCAAAGCCGAATACGACGAGGCTGGCCGTTTCCTTGTCAAGGCGATGTATAGCGCGGGAATCCCGTTCTCATGAATGTTGGTACACGTTCCGGCAGTTCTTGGGATGGTCTTCTCCGTCAAGATGGGAATAAAAGCGTGAGAAGTGCTCATTCTGAACGCCGAATTTCGGTGCTACCTAACATGCCTATTGACGGCGCACGTTAGGCCGGTGATGGAGTTGTGGAAAGGGAGTGTCGGTCAATGGTCATGATTGGGCGTCGGTATGTTTCCCTCGTTGAGATGTGGTGTGTCGGCTGGGCTGACTACGGCACAGGTTGAAGCCCCGACATTGGACGGACTCGCGCACCATATTCTTGAGTTTGAAGAGTATCACCAGAATGTACACGGATACCGTCTTGAAGAGTGGTGAGCTGGGCTCACGACCACTACTGTTCTGAGTTACAGATTTCCACCACGTATCTCCCACGAAAACCATGGGCGAGCGCTGTCGTTATGTTGCCAGTTGCAAGAGTCCTGAGCGGACATAAACGAATATACGAAGTACAAGCTACACGCTGTCCAGGTCCTAACCCTGCCGATACTTGCTCGCCTGTCGTGGCTCAAGAGACCGAGCGGGAGAGGTGCAATACGAGATGGTCCTGATAAGCGAGGACGATCTTTATGATATATGCCACAATCTTGAAGGTGCGCGCGAGGCAGATACGGACAGATCGTTTATACTGATTTAAGGCTTTGAACAGTAGCGATATATGTACTACTGTGGCTGTAGTAGTAGCTAGCCACCAAGATGTGTACACAATGACAGGCATGCCAAACTTCAGTAGTATCATGCTCGCCGCGAAGAATGAGCTTGAAAGATGACTGGAGCATGGAAAAAACTAATAATAGCCTCGGATGGAAAATATCGTATAGAGCGCGCGGCGGGCTTGAATCTGGTCTGTCTACGTGTCACGATCGGCGCGCAGCTCTCGAGCATGGCTGGTAGGAAGAAGTTCCTCCTGTGATCGTCACTGCTTCAGACGTTCGCACTAGAAATTCATGCATTTATACCGCCCAACTGTCACAAATACTAAGTATAATATTATATTTCACATACGCGCCACGAAACGACCCTCTCAGCAGAGTGGTTTTGGCGCTTGCTTGTCTCTGACCGGTAATCCCCGTCTGTGACTCCAGTCGGCCCCGCCGTGCTGGGAAGAGTATGCTTCACCGACAGAGATGGCGGCGGCGACTTTGGCTCCGAACGTCCAGTCGAGTACACACCCCAACGCCAAGACCATCCGTATGAGCGACCAGACTATCCCATAGGCAGGTAGGGTCAAAAACACCTTGAACGGACTCGGCGTCTTCGACGTTCTGCGCCTTCGTATGGAATAGCGATACGGCCATGAAAGCTGCAGGCGCGTCGTCGAAACTGGCGTCTAGTACCAGATGCTTCGTGTGTCGTCCGTCGGCCCTCTAGACGATGCCAACGCAAGTCAGGACGGGCTATTCGAAGGATTGTGGTATTAAGGGAGATGGCGAAAACGAGAAGTTGAGATCGAACGCGATAATAATGAGGCGACTGGACTCCTCCAGTGGCGAAGGCACGCAGCGCCGCAGAGATTGATGATGATCGAGCGACACCGCGCGAGGCGCAGACGGTGGAGGGTTAGCCGTGGGCTGGCGTTGTTGGGCAACACGGGCGAGGAATGGGCGACGGCCTATATCATCCGCCATCCTCTCCCCTCTCCGTAGGCTGCTACCTCAATGGCGCTTGCAAGCGGCGGGAAGGTAGCAGGATTGAGGTGGGAGCGATGATGCACCGAGGACGTGGTCTTGAGCGTAGTTGGCGGGTGGCGAGCGTAGAGAGTGCGATAGACTGCCGGCGGTAGCCTCCGTACCCGGAAAATCTTGTTTAGCGCGCGAGTGATCTGGTGTATTTGCTGTAGCTGTTGGCCCATGCGGATGTGAACAATGTAGCTTGCCGTCTCGATGCCAAGGACGCCTTGTCGAAGCTGGCTTCGGGTGCGAAGCGAAGGAGCGCAGCATCGACCCTGTCGTACGTCCATCCAAACGATGTCGATCCGCTCCTCCTACGACGAAGCGCACGCAGCGCTGTGCAAGCAAGATCGCTCTGGAGTCGAAGTTGTCGAGCGGAAGCGACCTCAAGTAGGAGTGCGATAGGCCGGTGGTCGCTTTTGTGCCCTCCTTCCGTCCCCAGACGCGTCATCGTCCCCGTCGTCGGTCCAACTGGTGTTGATGTCGACGTGCGCCGGCTGACAAGTTCACTCCCCAACCGCCTCCGCACCCGTCTCAGCCTCTTCATCCTTATCAACGTCTATGTTGTCCTCCGGCGCGGCGAGTCCTGACGCGCTACGAGTCGACACCGCGAGTGTGGAGCATCTGTTACATAGGCGGCGATGCGCGGGCCTTTGTGGATGGCGAGCTAGGGATGTCCTAGGGAAATTGTATCCATGGCGGTGTACAGGTTCTTGAGGTGCGATGTGAGATGGTGATGGAAGTGGGAACGATAGACGCTCAGCGAGGCACGCGCGCTGTCATTTATCCGCGACCACCATGTCCTCTCACCGCGTCGCGTACATCACGGAACGAGATGAACGATCATACCTATGAGTGCCTGGGAAGGCGAGAGCTGTGCGTATGAAATGAGTTCCCGAATAGCGCAGGGAATGCTCACAGCTGTTTCGCAAGAAGAATCCGCGTCATTCAATGAATATATGCACTCTCAAGAGTTAGCCTTGAACCTAGCCTTGTGTGTGCGCGGAAGGCACTGCGCACTCTGGCCCAAGAGGCGCGAAAGCTCATGTGTACGTCGTGATTCACCATGCTCGTTGAGGCCGCGTAAGCTAACACTAGCTGGCAGGGCAACCATCCACGACCATATCCATGCTTTCGCCGCTCGGCCTCGCATTCGGCACCGCTCTACAGGTGAGCATCTTCGCCAACTTTCCAGCCTATAGTGTGACTTATCATCGCCGACAGTCTCTCATGCTTTGATATCGATGCTCACTCGCCTACCGTCTTTGGCTTGACGCTCTCCTCTTCGGACACACTGCATTCCAAGCGCCAATTAGCGGGCCTTGCCTTACCATCGGCTCACGAATCTCAGCACCCAGCACGCCGTAACCTTCACCGAGCGTGCGTCTACCAACCATCCGCTGGATTGGTGCGCGCCTCCTCAGCATGCTTCGACAGAGAGAGGGCGATGAAGACGTGTACATCCCCAAGCGCCATTCAGCCGACGTGGAGCCGTGCTCTCCTGGTGTATGTCCTGACTGGCAGGTTGGACATTTCCCATGCCATTACGAGTGTCACTACGGCGATAGCGACGAGGACGTGTACATTTTTGCGCGCCAGCATCAAAGTTTCAGCCTCAGTGGCTGCCCGGCTTCGTACGCAACTTTTGGGTCAAAACAGAAACCCTGACGCCGACGCTGTCCTTTCAGGATTATAGGGAGGCGAGGTCGGCACCGGTGGAAAGTCATGCGAAGCGCCTCGCACGCCCAAGCGCGCGTGTGCTAATTCGAACCGCGACGGCGATGTGAGGGTCTGCACGCCACACGACTATGGAGGGACGTTACATACCATGCAAGGGTTATGCGAGCAGTATGCTGGAAACGTACTTGTACTGCTGTACGCGTGTACGGTCATGGGAACGAAGTCGTGCGTGATTTACTCCCTATTTGGCCACCATTGACTGACCTCCGGTATTCTTTGCAGGTTTCGACACATAACTACATGTATGTCGAGACGGTAGATACTCAGCTGTCCGGGACGATTAGATATATCACTTTTGCCGCTTCACCGTCGACGTGCTCGCCAGGTCCTAGACGAAGTGCTGCGCGCAGCCTGAAAGTATCCGCCGAAACGCCACCAGTGCTGTACTAACGGTACACACCCGGTCTACAGTTGATATTACAAGCGCATATTGTCACGAATGTCATACAGCGCAAGCAAGGGCGAAATAGTGACCAGACGATAAGACCCTCCCATAGATGTCTGGATTCCGAAGTGCACAAATGGCGCCCACCTCACGACGTTCTTCTCCCCGACCTTCTCTCTCAACCGCTGGGCTGTGTGCACGGCGTACGCCGCGCCCGTCTCTCCTGCGCCAAGTGTCCCGGCCGCGCGAAGCTCGAGCAGCTTCTTATAGTACGCCTCGACGATCAAGGGCGCGTCGTCGTCCTGAATCGACCACATCGTCGCGATGACGCCTTTGTACCCGAGTGCGAGCATGCCCGCTGCCAGGTGCATCGACTCCTCGGGGTTCTTCTCGTCCCCGACGGCGGTCTGGCAAGCGGAAAGAAACGCGAGCTCGGCGTTATCGGCCATAATCATCATCAGATCCGACAAGGACAGACGGCCGTTGTAAGGCGAGATGCAGCCAGGAGTGCTCTTTGAGCGCGAGCTTCACGACATCGGGCGTCGCTTCGTCTCCATTCAGAGCCAGGGAGGGTGTTTGTGAAGCAGCGAAGACCTCGCGCAGCCGCGCGCCCTCGAGCGTCGTTCCCGGAAGCGGCGATAAACCGGGTGTGTTGGGCTGCGTGACTACGAGGATGCTAGACATTGAGCACTGCTGTGTGAAGCCATCGATGCTTCGCGTCACGGCAGAGAGCGATGGCGTGTACGAGGAGACGACAAAGTCGTACACGCGCGGCCCTGAATCATCGTTGTACAGGCCCGCAGCATGCAATGGCAACTGTGTCAAGGGCCCAGTGGGGCACCAAGTGACGTGGGGAAGGCGGTCGGCCTCTGCGTCCTGTGCGTATGAGTTAGCTATCTGTAGACATGACCCGGGATGTTATCCAACTCACAATGATGTCCGCTTTCAGTGCTTTCAGTATTGGGCCCACAATCCACCTCCAAAGACAGCCCAGGATACCATGAGGAGACATGGCACTACTAGACTGAGGCCGATATTGCGCCGAGGTGGCCCGCTCACGAACCCTTTCCTGAGTGAGATATGCAGTCCACTGAGTGCGTAGCTTCTCTGCCTTCGTGAGAGAAAGATCCGGCAGAGCAAGGGTGGTGATATCTCCATTGGGAAGAAGAAGCAATGCATCGCACCGAGTGCGATCAGTGTTGATAAAGACCGTCGCGCCGCTGAAAGGCGTAGATGACGCTAGCAGAGCGGAGAGCTTCTTCGGGAGTAAGAAGCTCTCGAAGCCAGGTAAACGACGAACTTCTGCGAGCAGATTTCCGTGTTTGATCGCAAGCCCTCGATGGCGATCTGACGAGTAATTGTCCTGCCCTGTGACAGGAACTACATTCATCAATCCAGTAGCATTGCTCCCAGACGTTGCATTGATAGAATTCCGCAGTTGGACTTGCACATCCTCGAGAGCACGCGCGAGATCTGGACGGACTTGCTCGAGCTCGTAAAGAGGGTCGCGCAATGACATCGTCTGCGTCCGTATGAGGCCTCTTCCTGCATCGAGCCATTCCACGGCTTGTTCCAGAGCATTGACACCAATGGCAGTGCTCACAGCAGAGTTGACGAGCTGACCGAGCTTCTGAGATTCTTCTAGGCGGCGTTCCATGGTATGTCCAAGCCAGACGAGCTCGGAGAGAACATCGAGGACACGAGCGTGGGCGGATAACAGCATCTCGGCTGCGGTGAACTCCCGATTGCTGTCCAGGAGCCCTACAGCAGACCTGGCTGACCCGAGACGGTCCACTGGTGAGGCTGATGATTGTGTGCTCGCAGCCATGTAAAACGAAAGAGCTTCTATGAAACAATCTCTCTTTCTTTCCCGGTGAAAGTCAGCCGTCAGAGCGAAGGCCAAGTTCAACATCGCGATGGCCTTATCAGGATCATTGTCCCGAAAAAGCCTAACGACCCGTCTCTGTTTCACGGTAGCACTCCGGAGATCTTCAAGCTTTCCGAAGCGTCGAAACCGATTCCAATACAAGCCGCCGAGGTTGTCGAGGCGCCTCGGCAAGTCGGGATGGCCATCTGGAGTGAGGTCGAGCGCGTGGCGTTGAATCGCGATGGCGCACTGGAGGTCGGCGGGGTCGTCAAGACGCTCAAAGCGATTGCCCAAGAAATGAGCGAGGTTGTGGAGCCTGGACGCTTTATCGGGATGGTCGTCGGGAGTCAGCTCGGTTGCACGCTGTTGACTGGCAATGGCGCTCTCGAGATCTTCGAGCTTTCCGAGGCGTCGAAAACGAAGCAGCTGCAAGCCTCCGAGGTTGTCGAGGCGCACTGACAAGCTGGGATGGTCGTTCGGAGTGAGCTCGACTGCATCTTGTTGCATTTAAATGGTGATTTTGAGGTCTTCGACTGTACCGAGGGATTCGAAGCGTTTTTGCAAAGAGAGACTGAGATTGTTCAGCCGCAAAGCCCTGTCTGGGTGTCCGTCTGGAACGAGCTGGAGGGCCCTTTGATCCGCCGCAATGGCACGTTGAAGGTTGTCAAGATTTCCTCGAGCTTCGTAATATAGACATAGACAACATCCCAGTTTGCTTAGCAGATCCGCTGTTGGTACAGGTGCAGTGTCCACCGCTCGTTGAAACAGAGCTATGGCCGTTTCAAGATGTGATAGGTCCCGCGTCTGCTCGTACGAAGCATATGCACTCAGGGCAGTCTCCATATCATCAAGCTCTGGGCTTCTGGGAGTTGAAGATCTCGTATCCGAAGGTTCCTGTCAGCTCGTTAACAAAACCGCTTGGAGAAACGTGATCCGCCAGGTGTTGGGGAACTCACCTCGGGAGGCACGGCGGCTTGTTCTTCGACAGTGTCTGGTTGTTCATCCATCGTAACGCAAGCAACCTACAGCGGGAGATGATCACTTTTGGATCGAGGATATCATCGAGAGGAGAGAAAACTTACGGCGAGCCGCGCGGGTAGATGCCCTATAGAAGGGAAGGAAGCCAATCGATGAGGCCAGGAGATATACAGTAGTTTCAGTGAGAATGCTAGGACATCAGTACTTCGCTGTGTCCGTGAGGAAGCCGCACGCGAACACAGCTTTGCAGGCGCTCGATGAACCCTTCAGCTTACGAGTGGACTTAGACAGTGCCTCCAGTAGACTCGAAGATCGCACGTATTGGTTTCGTTCGACATTGGCGACGGAGACAGCTTGTGGACTCAAAAACACCCGTAGGTCGAAGCAGTCATGAACGATGATAGGATTTACTATCAAAGGACAAACAAGCTGTGCAGGCCGTGCCACAGGTACTTGTACACCTTCGGAACGAGGCCGATGGGCGATGGATCGGCAACGCAACCCTATGCTCTTGACGCACTGCCCTCCACACAGACTATGACTGCTACCGTGCGTGGACGGGCGGGAGCAATGGCTATAGCGGGCCTCGCGGTGGAATCCTAGTACCCCCACGGCTGTGCTGGAGACGCACACCACAGCCTGCGATGCGCGAGGCAAACGTGGAGGTACATGGCGTCTCACGATGACCCTGTGCGATACGAAAGCGGCTTGGGCCTGCAGATGGATGAGTACGCGCGATACACGATGCCAATGAGCGCGCACCTCTTTGCTAGCCCGTATACTACGTTGGATACTACGCGTGGGCGCATCTTCCTAGCGTCTACACGAGCACCAACTACTACAATGCTTGGACGCGAGAGCGACGGGTGCAGCGGGTGGACGCACAGCACAGCTCAAGGCAGATACGGGGACATAGGGCATCCCAAAGCGGCCCTGGGCCCTCTGGCCTAAAAGAACAGCTCAAGTCTGAAGATGTATGAGCATCCGGAACGAGATGATACGATGACAGGGTGTGCGCACCTCCACTCAGAGAATAGTAGGCGGTGCACGACGACACATTCCGCGCGTAGAACGCGCGAGGAACCCACTTAACATTCTTCGTATGTGTCTCTTCCCATCATATCGGTCTTTCGAACAAGCCGGGATTGAAGTTTAATGAATGAAGCCCATCGCGATCATGGCGGTGCAAGCCAACCTTTGACGGCGCAGAATGCGCCTCGCCACTCGCGCACTAGGCGCAAATGCTCACACGCTCACGTTCACTCTCTAGCACCCCACGGCGAGATGCCGTATCCTTGCTCTTTGTACCATATGTACCGAGGCTTGGAGAACACTTGCTCAGAGCGCTCAGGCGGGTGATTATGCGCTCATCAACGTTCCGACGATACAGTAGTCGAGACGAGCACTTTGCCTGGCTTCAGACGTAGATACTACAATGTTCTATGCCCTGCGTCTCAATGTATTCATACTGCCCATCTCTCATATCTACTATGTACATAACTGCATCCCTCACACGCGCCACGAAACGACGTTGCTTATCTCTGACCGGGAGTCGAGAGCGTAGTGAATCCTGGTACCGTACTCCACTACGCCGCGCGAATGCCAGACGAGGCTTATCAAGCATGTATAGTTTGCATGCGCCGTATCTGCACAGACATATCAGGACGATATTTCCGAAGGGCATCGTGATAGACGAACCGTCGCGCACGTCCTATCTGAGGCGAATGACCAAGCTACTCCCCTGGATCACGACCTATGCAACTTGATCGTTCGCTCGCGCGCGTATATCCTCTGCGGCCCTCCCTCGTGTGTCCTTGATACCATGAGCGGCGCGCCTTCTGAGTGCGACCAGCACACAACGTAGAGGTCCCAATAAGTAAACGGCAGGATCGTTCGACTGGGCCCGTGCTGTGACTCGCGTCGGTCCAGCCGTGCTGGGAAAAGCGCTCTTCGCCAACAGCGATAGAGGCGGCGGCTTTGGCTCCAAACGTGCGGTCGATTACACACGCCCCGACGCCAAAACCATGCGTATGAGCGACCAGGCTATCCCACAGGCAGGTAGGGTCGAAAGCACCTTGAACGGATTCGGAGTCTTCGACGTTCTGCGCCTCCGTATGAGGCGGCGGTGCGGGTACGGGAGCTACAGGCGCGTCGTTGGAATTAACGTCTGGCGCCAGGCACGTCTTGATGCAAGTCGGTTTTGGACAATGCCAGTATGAGTGAGTCCCCGTGACACGAAGGATCATGGCGTTGGAGGGAGATGGCAAGGGTAGGGAGTCGAGATCGAGCGCAATAGATGGGCGTTTGCACGTACTCCTCCCGTGACGCAGGCGTGCGGCGCTGAAGAGGTTCGTCGTGTGATGATGATGAAGCGACATCGCACGTTTTATAGACAGAGGAACGGCAGATAGTGAGCCGCGGGCTGGTGTTGCTGGGCAAGACGGGCGAGGAACAGGCGCCAAGCACGAGCGTCTTGGTTCTTCTTTGATATACGGCATATACCATCCGCCATCCCCTACCCGTTCCGCAGGTTTGCTTTTCTTCTTCCTCAAGGACACTTTCAAACAGCGGGGTGGGGATCATGATTGGAGTAAGGGGGATGATGCGCCGATGACGCGGTGGCGAGCGTAGAGTGCGATGCTAACGCGTGGGCCACCAGGCATCTTTGCCGTCTGTGGACGCGTCGTCGGAGCCAGCTTTGGGCGCAAAGATGTTCGATGGAGAGCACGGCAATGAGCGCGTCTTTGCTGTCGTACGTCGGGGAGCAGCAATTCTAAGGATTGCGCTGCGTCCGCCCGCAGCGCTGGGAAAGTAAGATCGCTCTCGAGCGAGCAGGAGCAATCTTGGGCCACGCAGGATCGCTTGTGTGCCCGTCCGGTACCGGAGACGCGCCTTTGCCGTCGTCGATCCAACAATTGCCAATACCGGCGTACGCCGGCCCATCTGCAACATCCCCCGCATCAACATCCGCGTCAGTCTCTCCGTCCGCCTCCTCTCCCTCGCTCTCATCCTCTCGACCACCGTCCTCATCGACGTCGATGTCGTCCTCCGGCGCGGCGAGTCCAGACTTGCCACTGGGTTTACATTGCAGGGTCCGCGCCAAGGATTGAGCCCGCGTTGGGCGGTGATGCGATAGGGGTGTATCGGTGAAGCCTGAAGCTTGAAGCTTGAAGGGCCAGGTCATGGAAGTGGGAGGAATAGGCGTAGATAGGCGTTCGGCGCGGCACCCGCGCCGTGTTTCAATCTCGACCACCATGTCCTCCCCACCCATCACGTTCAGTGAACAGCCTAGACCTATGAGCTCGGTAAAGGCGGGAGCTGTGCGTATGGGTCAAGCTATCGAGTGGTGCATGGAAGGCTCACGAATATTTCGCAGGACAACATCGCGTCGATAAGCTCACCTTGAACCCAGTTTTTTACGCGCGGACAGTACGACTTGCTGTAGCAGAGGCGCGGAAGTTCCGATACTGGACAGCAAGCTACTGCAGGCGCTAGACTCGTGCGCGTATTTCCACCAACCTCACGCACAAGCTGACACTTTGCTGGTCAGAAACAGCGACCACTATCAAGATGCTTCCGTAACTCGACTTTGCACGTTCGTCTGTCTCGTCGCGCTTGCGCTCGGCTCGCGCTCGGTGCTGTTTCTGCTAGGCGAGCATCTTCCCCGACTGAATACACAATATCGCTTACCATTGTCTACAGGTCCTCGGGCGCTTACTTCGATGCTCTCTTACTGGGCATGTACAATCTCACCGGTGGCGCTGGCACTCTCTTATCCGGGTTACTTTGAGTACTACGACGGAGGACGCGACGAGGGCGCCTACATATCCAAGCGACGGTCGGCGGGACATGCGGCTTCGACACGGATTTTGGCATCCAACATATCGCTGCCCTCGCCGTAGCCCGCGGGCGCCAGTCTTATCGCCGACACCGCTTCAGTTTGCTCGATACCAAGTCGAGAATTGCGAGACTTGTCCGGCGGTTTCGGTGCGTTGCTTTCCGCGACGAGGGTGAACGTGGCTCTGATGACTACATTCTCAGGTGGTGTCAACGGTGTGTCTGGTTTCATCCGACCTATCTGGTCCTAGTTCGTCGGCCATGAAAAGGTCGACACGGAGAACGTCACTGTCAAGTGCAACATCTACGATCTCCCAGGCGTATTGGCGCACTGCTCCCTGCTTATCCCGAGGGTGGACATGGGAACGCGTGCATTTCAGCGTCAGTCGGTGGGCCTCGACAGTTGGGTTCCACATGGGCATTGAGGCGCTATCCCGCCGCGCGCTGAGGACGACCGCAGTCTCGCCGAAAACGTCGCCAGCGTCATAAAGCAGGACCGAGGCGATACAACCGGTGGCACCCGCGCGCTTCTCCGCGTCGTATCTAATGGCAAGGTCGGGGAAGCAGCGAAGACGCGTGCGTCCTGGAGCGCCTACCTCAGCTACCTCAGCTTCAGCTCCCGATGGTGTCCCCGAGCGTGCATATACGAATCATCCGCGGGATCGGCGCGCGCTTCCTCAGAGTGGCAGGAGGCTTCGACGGATTGGGCGACGAGGACGTACATCCTCAAGAACCATTCAGTCAATGTATAGCCATACTCTCGCGGTGTACGACCTTACTGGCCTTCTCGACAAGCGCCTCTCTGGCTATAGCGAGGGTTACAGTGGCGATAACGACGAGGGCGAGTACGCTCTGGTGCGCCAACTGTGAAGTGTCGGCTTCGGGGAGGGGCTGCCCGGCTGCGTACGCGACGTCGTATCGAAAGAACAATGCCGACGGCCCTTCGCTCTTGGTGCCAACTCAAGCCTCGACGCCGGCACTATCCTTTCGAGCTAGGGAGGCTGCTAGGGAGGCGATGTTGGCGCCAGAGTCGGGCAAGCGCGCGTGTCCCTATAGACGGACGTCACATACCGTGCGAGGGTTATGTGAGCAGAATGTTCGACGTGTACTTGGAGTGCTGTGCGCGTGTACGACCGTGGGATTGAAATAGTGCATGATTTACTCCCCTCCTGGCCAGACCATTGGTTGACCTGGCATTCTCTGTAGGTTTAGATGCATGCTTACCTTCATGTCGAGACGAGAAGCTCAGCCGTGTAGATGAATAAATGTCTTTTCTCTCACCACTGTCAATGCGCTCGCCAGGTCCTATGATCATTACCAGGTCTACATATACAATTGCCGAAATGCTGATGGTACCACACTGACAATCTACCCTCAATCTACAACCTCGATCCACAACAGAAAGCACAGAAGTAAACAATGAATACTTTACATGTTCAAGGACAGACAAAACCCTAGGCTAGCAAGACCGACCATCCGATTCGACGTACAATTATATTCCGAAGTGCACGAACGGGGCCCAATGGACGACGTTCTTTTCCCCCACCTTCTCCCTCAAGCGCTTTCCCGCCTCATGGAGTGCGTACGCCGCGCCCGTCTCTCCCACTCCAAGCGTTCCGCTCGCGCGAAGCTCGAGCAGCTTCCTATAGTACGCCTCGACGATCACTGGCGCGTCGTCGTCCTGGATCGACCACATCGTCGCTATAACGCCCTTGTACCCCACGGCGAGCATACCCGCCGCGAGGTGCATCGACTCCCCAGGGATCTTCTCGTCCCCGACGGCGGTCTGGCAGGCGGAGAGGAACGCGAGCTCGGCGTTATCGGCCGTGGTCCCCATCAGATCCCATGAAAGCGCTCTTCAAGGGGTCGTCAAGCTCTTGACAGCCGTGGCAGGCGAGATGTAGCCAGGAGTGCTCTACCAGTAACTCGAAACATCAAAGCTTCTGGTCTCCTACGGGGACGAGGACAGGCCGTGTGGTATCTCCAACGCCCGCTCGCGTTGCCCAACCGGTCGAGGTATGCGGTAGATGGCTGATCATGGAGGGACGACGCTTCGAGTGTATCCGATTTTCGATGACGCCCCACCAGTGATCATCCTGTACTGCTCGGTTGTGCGTGGATCGCTCCGCCGACTTCAGGAAGGTCAGCCAATCTTGAAACCATTCCTCGTGGACAGCTGTCCACAAGCCATTGCTAAAGATCGTATCCCACAGATCCTGCGGTGGCCACAGGCCGAACTGTCCACTGCGTCCGCTCAACATATCGTAAGCACACCCGGGTGCCTCATCCCAGACGTAGTCCGCAGGCCACTCCAGCTCGTCGCCATGAGCTCGCGCGCTACCCGAAGGACCTTTCGCAACAGCGTTGACGTAGCTCTGACCTCCGATTAACATGGTAAGGCGCCACCCGATCCCCCCAGTGAGCGCGAAGGCTCGCGCCCACGGCTTCTCTTGTAGTAATGCAGCCACTTGTAGACACCGCTCATCATATGTAGGAACTGAGCGCGATAACGGCAGCGGCAGCTCAGCCACAATATCCAATTTAGCGTATCCCTGAGTGTGCTCAGCCAAATGGGGTGCCATTGCGTAGCATCCAGGCCACGAATCCTCGCACGGTGATATCCGGAACAGCTACACGCATGAACTCCCGCATGATTCTCGCCGGTAGGCTGAGAAGCACCATCGAGCCCTCCGATTCCTTGCCCTCCGGACAGGGAATATGAACGGGGTAATGGCTGAGGTTTGAACTTAGAAATAATAGTGCTCGAACTTCTTCTGCCAGCACACCAATGGCACCGTGACCTCTGTGTCGCGCCAGCGCAGTTCGAGCGTTGCTTGAGTAGGAGGGTGGGTGAGTTTGCAGACCGCGGGCGCTGTGAGAACTGCACTGGCGGTGAAGACATGTGCGACCACGGAGGTGGGAACAGAAAGATGTGCGGCCACGTTCCGCCGCGCCTCCATAGACCCTGATCTGCCTGCAGGACTCGTTCCTCGCCCTTTGGCAGATCGACACTCCATGCTTTGCCCTCTAACTGTCACTCCGAGCGATTTCGAGTAGTGTGGTGCATCAACTGACATACGTATATGGTAGTCTCATGATACGCAAAGCAGTAACAATTAGATGTAGCCCGAGGGGCGGATGTAATACAGAGTACGAGATAGCAAGGATAACAGGTGTTGACAGTATAGTGTACATGGATACGAAGAACAGAATGGGAGGTCCACGATAGGTACATAGCAGATGGCAGGGAGTAAGTCGCGTGTCGAAGGGAGCAGGCGGTAGCTACTGAGTCGCTGGCAGTCGTTCCGCCTCCTCGCGTCGTCGACGCTTCAACCGCATTTCTTCGGCGTGAACGCGCCAGGTATGCTTGTGAAGTTGTGACGGGTCTTTGAAGATCAAGTCACAGTGAGGGCATTTATGAGGAAGCTCGCCCGTACTGCGGTGAACTCAGCGCTAAACGACGGCCAGAGAACAAAACTTCATGGACTTACTGCAGATTGACATGGGCTCGCTCCGCGTTGCTGCGCTGAGTGAATTTACTGAATCCGTGTGAGATGTTGCGGGCCAATCAGATGCGAAGATGCGTACCTCCCGCACCAGCTGCACTGGAAGCGTCTGCGCAGTAATCAGTATGCGTGATATTGCAAGCTAAGCAGAGGAAGCACTGACTTGATCTTCAAGTGAGTAGATTCGACATGGCGCCGTACCATGTTTCTCTGGGCCGTGTAGTTGCATAAACCAGGCTCACCCGCATGAAATGTAGGGTAGATGCAGCGCCACTGGATCTGATCGTTCGATATGGGTTCTGCAAACTTGCGGTAGTCCTCCTGGTCATTCGTGACGTCGATTTTAAGGATCTCGAGTTTGACATTCTTCTTGTTGAAGTAGATCTTGAGGTCCGGCTTTCCCGACCCTTGCGGGACTTCAAAAACCTTATAGACCATGGAGTCGGTATAGACAATCCCGTCGATCTCTTGATCGTCATCGTCACAGTACGACTGAAGCTCCGAAGATTTCTCTTCGTAGAAATCCTCTGCGCGCGCATGCTTGCCAAGAATCGACGTCGGCAGCTGTACGCGCTGCTTGGGTGACCACGAACTTCGCCTGCATAGGCATCAGAGCCAGAGCCTAGGCAAATCCAGGAATTCGATCTCGACATACACGCGAACTTCTTCGTCATCATTGGATGCGGTGCGTGGTGACACGGGCCGATCGAGCGAGACATTGAAGGAACTCGCCGAGACCGGGGAATCCTCCCTAATCGGGCAGACATGAGCTTGTCGAGACTAATGGACTAGTTCATACACATACGGACCTTTCTGCGGCGTATGAATCGGTACTGTCCACACGGGACGAATTGCTTGTGACTGAGGATGACGGAGAGGACTGTTCGCTCGAGCGATCGTGGGAGGAGGGCCACGGCGACCGCTTCTCGAAACGGCGCCTGCGTGATGGATGGGCTCAATATCACGACGAGCGGCAGCAGCAAAGGTGACGCACATCAGGGTACTCGCGGCCGCCAAAGTATGGATCATCAGTGCGGCATGCGCACCCTCTGGATCTTCGGGCGTGGCGGGGCGCGGATTGAGGGGACTAGCATTCTCGTCTGATAACGAAGTCCAATGGCGCTCACGACCGTGATATCTGTAAGATACGTCAGCACAGAGGTTTCCTCTTGCATTGCAAGACAACAATCGGACATGCTGCGTACCCTGCCTCTGAAGACGGACTGTTCACGAGTGACGACTCGATCTTCGGCGAGGATGGGAGCGGCGTCGAACTTCGAGTGCGTGTTGAATGTCCTGCCGAGCGTAGTAACATAGGGCGGGACGTGGATACTGAGGCGTGGGGCGGCTCATGGGTCATCGTATGAGGTGCCAAGAAGGAAGTCGGGTGGGAGGCGCCTGTTGCCGAAGTTTTCCATGTCATTGACAACGCGATGATGTGTCAGTGATCGCGTGTTGAGAGAAGATCCGCCTGAAGCCGTTCAAGGAGGCACTGAACAAAGGTCATTGACTCTCTTCGCGCGTGACCCTGAAGTGAAAGAAAGCCCTTGGATGTGACTCAGTTGTGCACCGTTTGGGAACGATCTGTGGGCAGAGTCGTTGCGATGGGATCGCTCGAGTGGAGTACTTCTTGGTGTAGGCAGACGCCGGCGAAATACTGAAGTACCACCTTCTCGTATCTTCATTGAGGACCGCTGACAGGATGGTTGCGCATTCGAAAGTATGTACTAGCGACAGCAGAACCGCTGCAAACTACAGAGAGGACCGACATAACCAACTCCCGAATATCCATTCTCCATCGTCTCAGTCAAGCCGCCGATTCGCCGCTTGAGACTATGACAACCGAATCAGTATCAAGACCCCCGTCATAACTTGAAGTGGTACGCACAACTGCCTAACAAGGCATTGCCCACGAGCATCCTTATGTGCGGATGGAAGCGATCAACGCTGACGTCTGCGAGTACGATGGCCTGTGCGGTTGTTGGTACGCGTACGTTACAGAGACGGCCAGTCTGCCAGGAAAGTTCTTCCTCGTTCGATGCCGAGAGGACTTTGACGTGATCGGCGATCTTAAGCCCTAACTCTTCCCATTCGTTATCATAGTCCCGAAACCATATGGTGTGCACGTCAAAGACTGGTTTCAATCGGATGACTTTCGGTGGCTCGTTTTCCTAGAAATGATACAGCAACAGGAGCGTTCAACAATCGGGTCTGCCAGCGGAGGATGACGCGGGTATTCACCTTTAAGAAACACCACACAGTGAGCACTGCGCAGGCCGCAGGCGTACGCAGGAGCTCCAGGCTAGGACTTCGAGAGACAGGCCGCACGGTGCGTGGAGAAGCTGAATCCGAGTCCGAATCTAGAATCTCTATACATGGAATTCGAGATGAAATCCGATGTTTCGAGGGATTCCGGGCGGAGGTCGAAGCTGGTGGACCGGGGATAGCGCGATGTGGTGAAGGGGGTTGACGAGACTCATAAGGGCGTGTGGAGGTATACGCTGAGCTTCGCCATCGAAATCCATTTACATGTAAAGTAGGACCGGATCTCTACATTGACGGTCAGACTGCGGATCAATACGCTAAGACTTCGACGTACTTCGCTCGTTGATGAATGAGAAGGGAGAAGCTGCTGAGCCTGCACTTGACGCGCAAGCATGTGGTCTCGCAGCTCCTGTAAAACCCTCGATTCTAGAGGAGGAGAAATATACAGGAATACCGGTCCGTTAAACTGGACGTCGCCTGGATGGTCGAAGCCACACTACACCGTGGTCAGTCCTGATACGATGGCCAAGGATGAGAGAAAGCGGACCTCAAGAAACCAGCGTCCGTCATTTGGAGTGTTCGTCAAGCATTGTAGGTCCTTGCGAATGTAGTGTCCCAGAGCTCGACAGCACTGACGACGGTAGGAGAGGAGGGCTTTGTCGACAGGGCCTGCGTGAGCTTTGAGTTCCCGTTTGTGGTCTTCCTGAATCGACTTCAGGACGCTGGTGCGGAGGGCCCCTTTGGAAGGAGACATGAGGGAAGTTTGTGGTGCAAGTTGGAAGCTGGGACAGGGACACGGTTTTGTTCGCGGTTCTGACAAGTGCCCGGAACACCCGGTGAAAGCCAACGTCTCGAGGGAGTGGTGAACGTGCTTGATAGCCCTGTCGGGCTTCGAGAAGCTGTGAGATACTCTCCCAGCATGCGGCACTGTCATGCGGCGTGTAGAGTAGCCCAAACGAACAAACAGGATCCATGTATGGTGTTCAAAGACCCGCCGCCTTGTCAACGTTGTCTGCGCAGGCGTTTCAAATGCATCGTGCTTCTGTTGGTAACAATATGCTTCTGTTGTGAGTATGCAGCGCACGAACATGAAATTGCTAAAGAGGGTAATAATGAACAGGTGCCCAACCTTAAGGGGCTGACGCAGATTGCAACATGTGCGTATTGGAGCATGGAGCGCACGATAGAATATGAGGCGAGGCAGGGCCGATGGTGGCGGGCGCGGGAGATGCATGGTAACAGATGCATGGTAAGAATGATGGGGCAGTAATTTCAGCATCTTCTGAATTGGATTGTGGCTTATCACTCTTCCACAGAATGTATTCTGTTCTCGCACGGTAAGGCGCTATACAGTTGGTGAGCCGGACGCGATCGAGCGCCGTGAACGGGGTTACTCGCACCGAAAGTATCTTGCTTGCGTCTCTTGAGACTCGCAGTCGGTACTTCCGTGAGAAGAGGGTTCGGTCCAAGTTCATCTAGAGTCTAGATAGAGATAATCTGATGCCGAGCTGAGGGAGGGAGTATCGGCGTCGACCAAGCAGAATAGGACGAATTCATATCCCACCCCTCAACCCCCTCTCGTTCCTAGCCACAAGGGGCATGCCATTTCCATAGGAATGACGCGTATTCGCGCCGAGCCCTCAAATTCACGGCATCTCCGAGTTGTTGTAGGCCGCGTAGAACGTAAGAAGCGCCGACGTATCTTTCGAGCGACGATGAATTCAGGTCCCTGCGCGAGCAGATGCTGAAGAGCGACCCGGATAGACTAAACGCGTGGGTGAAGACGCTAGGCTATGACTTCGGCCCATGGGCCACTGACCATCCCCGCGTGTTGAGGTTGAGAGTGCGACGTGGCACAGGGCCGCCTTCGACGTAGGCGAGTCAGGCTGTGCCAAGCGTTGAATAGCCTTCCTACTACCTTTCTGGCTGTAGACGGGTTTGGGTATAAAGAGGCGATCCCGAGCGCAAGCGAGCGAGTTCGGAACTGACATGATGGTGGTGTATAGGTTAGAGTGTCAAACGACGCGTTCATCTTTGATGCGCCACGACTTGCAAACCCTAACCCTGCACAGCTTGCGGTGTTTGATAGGCGAGTGTGAATGAGACAACGGCCACAGCGGGCGCATGCATATTCGGAACCCTCCACTACAATGCATTGAGACAGCTAAGCGAGGGTCTCCCTTTGTCCGCATATCAGATAAACCGACCGACTACTGTGTTATGTATAGTTGAGAGCTATCGCCGCGACTCTGTGTCCGACGCCACCCTTCTCCGTCCTCCCAATTGTGTATCTGTTCTTCAGCAAGAGCTAAACGTTCTAGAGCCTTGTCGTCCGCTTCCTTTCGTGCGAGCATGGTGTCGTACACCCGATCATGATACTTATGCCCGGCCGCCAATATGACTGACGATAGGCATTGCGTCAATGTTCGAGTTGTGGTGAATGATCGATCAGCACCGACAATACTACCCGGAAGGCTGAGCGACCTAACCAAATCGTACTGCATGGTACGAGAAGCTTGACGCGCCGTCGATAGGTCCTCATGCACCAAAAAGCGAGTTTCGTGAGCCCATCGACGGGCCAGTACTGAGAGCGAGAGCTGCATGGCCTGCCGCGCAGACTCCTCATGCTGGCGCGCCCATATGCCTTCTATCGATTTCGACCCCAGAACCTGATCCAAATTCGCATGTTCCCATATGAAAGACAGCTGAGAACCGTGAGAAGAGGTATCAACGACGCAGAAAGGACGGGCGACGTACGTAACCTTCAGGAGTCTGTCCGCGAATCAAGCACCGCAGACCAATGTCTTGCAGATGGGACTCATAATGACGTAGGCCTACGATGTCCACGACGTGCTTCGCAAACTCCCGACGCGCGCGATAGTGCCCGTCGACGAGCATGGCGAAGTCGGAAGCGAGTTCGTTCGCAATGAAGGTAGAATCCAGCGCAGAAGCTGCGATGCGACATACGAACTCGCCTGCGGCCGGAGAAAGATAAGCGAGGTCTTCGGAGTAGCTACAGCCGGCCTGAGGGCATCTCCATTTGCGTAAGTACGGCGTATACGATTGCGACGGTCGCTGTACGAGAGCGGGATAGAGAACTGCTACAGCTTGCACGATGTAGTGTGCTGTAGCTGGGTGACGAGCGTGTGTTGGTATATGCGCATCTTTATTGACGAGCACGATGCGATGCACAGGTGAGGGGCCCTTCGCCGGGGAGTCGACGCGAGGCAAGTTGCGTGGCCACGCGAGACCATCCAGATCTTGCGGATGCATAGCAGGCATTGTTACCCGTGAGATGTGATTGAGGGCAATGTCCGTCTAAAAGCATGTGAGTGCAATAACCTATGTTGACTACGTTAGCCCTCACAATTGTAGCCCAGGTAACCTCGTCGTCGGGAGCAACATCCACGTTACTCAAAGCATGCGCGACAGGAGAGTCCCCGTTCATTACTTCGCTGTCGATACGGGTATCGTCCATGGTGCCCTCCAGCGTATGCGGGATCTCGAAACGATGGCTGGCGGTGGAGGTACTTGAGAGGGAAACAGGAAAGGCGCGGGGTGGACGAGTCTCAATATAAGAGAGAGAAGAGATCAGGAGTGGCTTTGAGAGGGTTAGGGAAGGCGGAGGGAAACGACCCCCCCTCCAACTGTCAACCGTCAGAAGAATTGTGGCAGGCTATTGGATTACCAGTATTACAATGCAATGCAATGAAACACCCGGCGAACCTAAAGAACATCATGCGGCGCCACCCACGCGATCGTACGACAGGATGTTGCGCTCAGGGCTCAGGGTCGAGAGGTTGTACAAGTCTTCCAAATCGGTAGACCGGCGAAGATGCTCCGATGTTGTACGTTGATCATCGTGTCTTCACTGGGACGACGGTACTGCGGCACCGTGAACGATACTGTGATGGTAGACTGCATCCGCTCCGCGCGTTCGTATGACCTGGTGAGCACGCCGCAGTAGTGATTACCTGTTACTTTCCCTTCGTGTTGACTGAAAGAACTCACAGGGAGAACGACGCCCGCGCGCCTGCGATCGAAAGTCCAGTAATCCCGGCGCATCAGGCCACACTGACTTGCTTTTCTGAACGTGGGAGGCGTCTGATGGACAGTAGCGCGTCTCTTATTGTGCGGGTAGATACGGCGGCGTCGCTGAGCATCTCAAACGTTTAGTAGTGATTACTCAACCAATAGATAACGCCTGAAGCGTTGGCATGCAAAGAACACTCCCATGCGGTATATAGCATATGCGGGGATGTCAAGACAGACGCTCCTAGTCCATTCTGTTCTAAACGTAACAGCGGCTAGACGCCCGAAGCTTCTGACCAAGTGGCGTATCTAGTTGGCGATAGATGAAGGGTCCCCTTTTGGCCAATTAGTTGCTCCGCTCTACTTGGTATTAAAAACGGCTGGGGACGCACGCATGAGACGGGGCTCGCCTGGTAGATTTGGCAATAGGAAGCACGGACCGGTCTTAGTGCGTTACCACGCGAAATCGCACTACACTTCTCGGTGCACCGCCGTATTGTCCACGTGTCGAGACCTTTGTGGGGCAAAACAAGTAGGATAGGCAATCTCTCACGCAGCGCGCCGGAGCTGAAGATACCCCGTGATGATTTGTTCGAGGCACTTATGGACGGCGAGCATGCGGGCGATTCAGGCAAATACACCCGAGCAGTGAAAGAGTGAGTGAGATATAGTGTGTTACGTATGAGGAAGTCGTGTCCATGATGTCCTCGATGGCAGTCGAGGTTCTAGTCGGCCGTCGACGCGTCGATGAGCCTGCCGCTTCAGGCGCTCCGAAGCCGAAGTGCGACAGCATCTTCATGTCGATGGCGTTGACGCTGATAATACGAGGCTTGGTACGGAGAGCGGTTGGCAGGGCTCTTTCCTTTCAACAATGAGTGAGCATGGACACCTAGTCGGCGTCTGAGGCAACCCACTTTGTCGGTCTCGTCATAAGAAACATTATAGAGATCAAGCAGGCGACGCAGAGGTCAGAGATTCAGGCGATCCTTCATTGCGGCAAGAATGGCGCCGTGTTGGGCATGAGATGAAGCTACTGGCAACTCGTCAACATCATGGCGTTCATGGCGACCATCACACGAACCAGATGATAAGTGTTGCAGAAGGAAGTCGCGTAGGGCATTGGCGGTGGCAGTTTCACCGACTCGAACATCATGGGAGGATGCGAGAGACAGAAGACCGGGTAGCTTCATCGTCTCAATCTGGTTCACGAGAGAGGCGAAATCGTCTCGAATTCGGGAAGGACCCGATACAGGTTGTGTAGAAGTGCTCGATGAGGAAGAGGCACGAGCAGGCATATTGTGCACTGGAGCGCGAGCGACAGCAATCGATTAATATAATCAACAAGATCGGATCATATATACTCACGACAGGTGAGGCGAGGCAAGTCTAGGGCAGAGGCAACTGTGCGTAAATGAACAAGGGGAAATTTCGCGGCGCAGATGGTACTGAGCGGATTATCCATGTAGGCGAGGAGAGATGTGTATGGTTTGGACAAGGAGATGGAGTCGGGGGGGCATGAGGGAAATGGAAACATGCACCAGACAGGACGTGCTGTATGAGGACGGCACGATCGGAGGCAACGATGGACGACTGAGTGCACATGATGTCATGTGAGAAGAGAGTGTTGCGAATGATTGTGTCGGGAGCGAGAAAGAGGGAGCGGAGGGGAGATGCAGATGACAGAATATAGTTTATGATGGGAGGCAGAGCGGCAGAAGCCGAGGAATCGGCAGTGGCTGGACAGGACGCGGTCTGTGTTGGTGAGGAATGAGACGGATAGACCATGATCGAGTGGGCATGCACGTACGTAGGTGGTGTGGGCATTGAGCGACCCGCATGAGTGTGCGTAGAAGAGCCCGCTTGGGTGTGCATGGGAGGCAAGGTAGTCATATATAACAAGAGTTGGCAAGTTTGTCGCGGCTCAGGGGGCGGAGATGGAGGTACGAAGACGACAAACGACTCGAGGTAGCTCGAGGTGAGCGCAAGCATCTGTCAGCGGATCCCATGACCCCGGCAGGAGCCGAGTACAGGCACATTTACGTGGGATGTGAAACCTGAGCCATTTTCAAGCGTTGAATCCACGAGGGCAAGACCCACTACTAGCGTAGCGGGAATGTTAGATCATTGTACACCTGCCGCCCACCCGTCCGTGATGCAAAATTATCAAGATAGGAACGGAATCAGGCGGGTTTGATCCCGTTCTAGTTCGTATCCGCCGCGCTTGTAGGGCGTATACCATACGGTATACACATTATAGCACGACCCGTTTCAGTGTCTCGGTAACGGGTGGGTAACGG